ATGGGGAGTTTGTGTTTCATGGGCACAGAGGTTCAGTTGGGGATGATAAAAAAGTTCCAGAGATAGATGGTGGTGGTGATGGTTACACAACAATGTGAATGTACTTCATGCCACTGAACTGTACAATAGTGGTTAAAAAGATAAATATTATGTATATTTTGCCACACACACAAAAAGAAATAGCTCAGCACCCAGAGTCTGGTATATCATGGCCTTCAAATAAATGTGTACTGATTCCGCCACATTCTGCTATCTCCGTAGGCCTTCCAAGAGTCCTGCAGCAACCTCAGCTCACTCCCTTTGCTGAATGCTTCTTGCACACTTGTTTGCCAGACAATCTGTCCCTTTAAAACACAAACACATATCATGCGAAGTGTCCTGGGCACACCCCATGGCTTCCCAACCAGGGACCCTAACAGGTTTCCAGCTAAACTACTTGCCCCACCCCTCCTTGCTCCTTCTCACCTCAGCTCATGATCAATACCATCTCACTCTCCACCGAAGTAGCAGAAAGAGCTTAGGGTCCCATAGCCTCTGTTCCTCACCAGCTCCATGGGGATGACCTCTGTAAAGCACCTAATCCCACACCCAGCAACCAACAGGTGCTCCATACATATCAGTTGACTCCTCCATGAAGCTTCCACAGGGGCCAAAAGTAAGAAGCAACCATCAAGAAAAGGAAATGGTTAGAGTAGGGGTGGTATAGGCGGCTGACCCAGGGCATGGGTGCCCATAAAAGAGAGACTGTGGGAACCAAGCAAAGCCACGATGGTGGGCTGGTAAAGAGACAGGAGCAGTTTTACTGGTGACTGAGGAGCAGACCTAGGGTCTAGTTCAAAAGGAGCTTGCTACCCCAACAAGCAAAAGAAAGAGAAGGCATCATTTTGGCTTTGTAGGGAAGGTTGTAGGTTAAAGCATAAACTAGAAGGGGCTGTGAGAGCTGCATGACTTCCTGGGCCAGTAACAAACTGGACTCGAGTTTAGTCAGTTGAATTGAGTTGAAGACTGTCCCCCCAAAACTTTTGTCCACCTAGAACCTCAGCTTGTGACCTTATTAGGAAATAGGGTCGTTATAGATGTAATGAGTTAAGATGAGATAATACTGGATTAGGGTGGACCCCGAAACAATAACTGGTGTCCTTATAATATGAGAAGATACAGAGACATCCACAGAAGGAGCATGGACATGTGACAACTGAGAGATAGGAGTGATGCAGCTACAAGCCAAGGAACAGCAAGGATTGCTAACAAACACCGGAGCCAGAGGAGAGGCATGGAGCACATTCTCCCTCAGACCCTCAAAAGGAACCCGCCCAAAGACACCAGGATTTCAGACTTCTGGCCTTCTGAACAGTAAGAGAGTCAAGTTCTGTTGTTTTAAGCCACCTTATTTGTGGTAATTTCTTACAGCACCGCTAGGAGAGAAACACAGGCAGCTCCCACGAGTCCCTCACGCAGTGCTCTTTAAACAGCTGACAGGATCTGTGCTGGGGAGGGAGAACCTGAGTGGAAACCTCTGAGGGTGGGCACCTGGACTACAGCAGTCTTGTTGGAGCCAGGTTGGAGGCATCTGTTCTCAGGAGCTTCTGCCAGTTATGACCCTTTCAGCTCCTGCCCAAGGCCAATACTTCAAGCTGGGGGTCCTGGGGAGCTTTCCAATGGGATTGAAAGCCTAACCTGGGCCTTCCAACAGCTGCTCAGTTTTTAGTTTTTTTAATAAATATATCTTGATTGTTTAAAGTATTACCGATGTCCTTTCCCCCCCCATTGATTCCCTCCACTCTGCATTCCTGCGCCCCTTCCCCAAGTCCTCCATCACACTATTGTCTGTGTCCATGGGTTATGCATATATGCATATAAGTTCTTTGATTAATCTCTCCCCACCCACTCCCCCACCTTCTCCCTGAGATTCATCAGTCCATTCCATGCTTCTATGTCTCTGGATCTATTTTGTTCATCAGTTTACTTTGTTCATTAGATTCCACATATGAGTGAGATCACGTAAAACTGAATCAGGAAGAATCAAAAACCCAAATAGGCCAATAACAACTCATGAAATCAAAGCAGCAATCAAAAACCTCCCAGCAAACAAAAGCCCTGGTCTGAACAACTTCACAGGAGAATCTTACCAAGCATTCTACTTCTTATTACAGCAGTCCCTTTAACATTTCTTGCAATGCTTCTATTTCTACTTCTAATTACAGCAGTCCCTTTAACATTTCTTGCAATGCTGATTTGGTGGTGATAAACTCCTTTAGCTTTTTTTTTTCTTTTTTTGTCTGGGAAGCTCTTTATTTCACCATCTATTTTGAATGACAGGCTTACTGGATAGAGTACTCTTGGTTTCAGATCCTTGCTTTTCATTACCTTGAAATACTTCATGCCATTCCCTTCTGGCCTGTAGAGTTTCTGAAGAGAAATCAGCTGACAGCTTTATGGGAGCTCCTTTTTAGGGAACAGATTGCTTTTCTCTTGCTGCCTTTAAGATTCTCTCTTTGTTGCCCGGCTGGGCATGGCTCAGCAGTTGAGCGTCAACCTAGGATCCAGGCAATCGGGGTTCGATTCCAAGTCAGGGCACATGCCTGGGTTGCGGGCTGCAGCCAATCAATGACTCTCTCATCACTGATGTTTCTATCTCTCTCTCTCCCCCTCCTTTCCTCTCTCTGAAATCAATAAAGATATATTTTTAAAAAAAGAAAAAAAAGATTCTCTCTTTGTTTTGAATTTTTCTCATTTGAATCATGATGTGTCTGGGTATGGGCCTCTTTGGATTCTTCTTGCTTGGGACTCTCTTTGTCTCCTGAACTTGTGTAACTTTTCCCTTCATCAGGTTAGAGAAGTTTTCTGCCATTATTTCTTCAAAGAGGTTCTCTATCCACTGGCCACTTTCTTCACATTCTGGCACTCCTATGATGTGAATATTGTTACACTTCATGTTGTCCCACAGCTCCCTTAAACTGTCCTCCTGTTTTCTTAATTGTTTCTTTTTGGATCTCTGATTGAGTGATTTTTTTCTACCCTGTCTTCTAATTCACTGATCTGATCCTCAGCTTCCTCTAATCTGCTGTTTATCCCTTCCAACGTATTCTTTATTTCTGCTATGTCATTCTTAATTTCCTTAAGTTTCCATATATTTTCTCATGCTGTTGAGCATCCTTACAATCATTATTCTTAACTCTACATCTCATAGATTGCTTATCTCCATTTCATTTAGCTCTTCTTCTGGAGAATTCTCTTGTTCTTTCATTTGGGCCTTGTTTTTTGTCTCCCCATTTTGGCTGCTTGTTTGGCTTGTTTCTTTGTATTAGGTAGATCTGCTAGGACTCCCGGTCATTTTGGAGGTGCAGGCCAATGTCAGGCGCTGTTTGTGACTGGCCTTGAGTATCCTGTTTGTAGCTATCAGCAATCTACAGCTTGTAATTCCCTCTGCTGAGGCTGGGTGCATTTGGAAAGGACCAAGATGCGTACCAAGATCTGCTTTTCCAAGCCTTGGGTCCAGAAGTACATCAGGCAAAGACTCAAAGCACCCAGAGATCCGCTTTTGCCTACAGGCTGAGTATTCTCATTCTCTTAATGGGCCTCAGGCTATAGGCCACAGCAAGGCATAAACTCCACAGAGTGGGACGAGAGGTTTTCCAATAGGTGGGGCAATTGCTTTCCACCCAGGCAAAAGCTGCCTGGATGGTAAAGATCTGCTTGAGAAATGTCCTCTGCAGTATGGCAGAATGACTCAGGACAAGAATCCACATGGCCGCCCTCCAAACTTTATCTCTAGAGGCAGTATCCCTTGATTTTCCTCACATAGCTCTAGTCCACTCTGCCCTCCCTTCGCCAGAGCCCAAAGTGAGTGGCTGCACACGGAATTTTGTGTTGTCCCTTTAAGAGGGTACCTGTATTACCAACCTCTCTCCCTGGCAGACAGAAACCCCGCTACTTTTCACAGCCAGTTGTTATTTGGGTACCTTTCTCAGTTCTGGTGGTCTGGGCTGGGGAGCCCAGCTTGAGGTTTAGACCAGAGTACTCAGCGGGAACCCCATACAGGTGAGATATCCCTCTGGACCTTCAGCTGTGGCCTGTGGCATCCTGGCTAGGCCTCTTGCATCTCCATACTTCCTACCAGTGTCTAGGCGGTCTCCAGTTTACGTACTTGTTTATGAGGGTTCTCCCCAGCTAGTCTTCAGCTGATGATTCAGGATGGTTTTTCTGTATTTTAGTTGTAATTCCAGTTTGGTCCTGGGAGAATGTCCATATAGCTTCCACTTAATCTGTTGCCATCTTGGAATCTCCAGCTGTTCAGTTTTTGTTTTACTTTCCTAAATACTCTTCCTTGCATCCAAAAGTCAACACAGCCCCAAGCAAACTGTGTGGTCCTTACCACATGGCCACTGAACATAGTGTTTCTATATTTGTATATTCTGCATCCTCAGCCGCTCAGGAAGATTGAGCCTTTCCAGATCTCTCCCAGCTGGAGGGACTTTTCCTGAGGAAGGTCTACAGCACTCTGTTTGAATCTCTCCTGAACCACTCCAGTCTGCCTTGTAGTCCGTTATATGTGTGCCCATGTCTCACCAGCCATATTGTGAGCAGGGGACTAGATCTGCCCACCACATCTGGAACACAGAAGGCTCATGAAGGAGGGAATGATTCTAGTAGCCAACTTCCTGACCACCCTTCTCAGCCAAAGTGGGAAGCTGGGACATCAGGCATTTGCCTGGGGCGGGGGCTGGGGGATCTTCCCCATATTTTACTCATTTCCCACGTCTCTCACTACCCCAGTTCCTCACACACTCAAAGGCTCCTCCTCATATGCCCTCCCTCCCTTGGGAAACCAGCTCAGAAGAAAGCAGTGTCCACCTGATAGATGCCCCAAGAGATCATTTCCCCTCCATCACTTGCAGGGATCCCCAAAGTTGCTGTGCCTCACCCCTTGCCTAGGTTCTATTTCCAGAGCTGGACCATGAAGTCAGGAGCCTGCTGCCCCACCCCAACAGGGTCCTTACCGTACATCTTGCCCTCATCCGACAGAATGATCTTGCGCCGGCCACAGGGTGGGTAGATGGCCAGGGCCTCCTGGAAGCTCTGCTCAATGTCTGGGCTCCATACACCCTCTGCATCATTGTCAATGGGCTTGTCCAATGCCTGACTGCCCCCAGAGACGTTGCTCCCCTCAGGGGAGTTAGGAGAGCTCCACTCGTTGGAGGTAATGGTGCCGGCCTTGCCCTCCAAGGCTCCGCTTGGAGGAGCGTCCGTTGGACCTGTTTGGACAGAAACCACAGCATTGGTGGAAGAACTAGGTGGACTGAGGGACGGGGTTAGCCAAGGAGTGCCAAGTCCCACGACCAGTTGCTCTTCCTTGCCTGGCCACTCACAGCGCAGGAGCTTGGAGGGGAAAAGCAAGGAATTCCAGGGGCCAAATAATAAAGTGGAAGGTCCAGGATGATCAGAATGCCTGGGATCTGGCAGGTCATCTGCCCTCTGTAGACCTCAGCTTCCTGTCTATCAAATGAGCACAATGACGTGGGCATTTCCTGATCATAGCTCTAAGAACCCAGATAGGAGAAGTAGGAGATAAGGATGGTCTAGCATTAAATGAATAATGGACAAAAAGGATGCAAAACATTGTATGCTGTTGGTGAGAATATAAAATAGTACAGCTGCTGTGGGAAACAGTATGAAGGGTCCTCAAAAAATTAAAAATAGAACTATCATGTGACCAGCAATCCTGCTTCTGGGTGTATCTCCAAAAAAATTGAAAGCAGAGTCCTGAAGAGATATTTGTACACTCATGCTTATAGTAGCATTACTCACAATATCCAAGAGGTGGAAGCAACCCAAGTGTCCACAGACAGATGAATGGATGAACAAAATGAGGTATATACATACAATGGAATATTATTCAGCCTTAAAAATGAAGAAAATCCTGTCACATGCCACAACATGGATGAACCTTGAGGACATTATCCTAAGTGAAACAAGTCAGCCACAGAAAGACAAATACAATTCCACTTATATGGAGTACCTAGAGTAGTCAAATCCATAGAGACAGAAAGTAGCATGGTGGCTGCAAGGGGCTGGGGGAGAAGGAAATGGGGAATTGGTGTTAATGGATATAGAGCTTCAGTTTTACAAGATGAAAAGGTTCTGGAGATCTGTTGCACAACAATGTGAATATACATTAACACCACTGAGCTATATACACTTAAAAATGGTTAAGATGATAAATTTTATGTGTTTTTACCACAATTAAAATCTTAAATTTAAAAAAAAGTATGCAAAATAAAATGTAGCTCACCATTCTCCATGCCATCCCCATGTTGGGGCTCTGGCAGTCTGACTTGCTGGTGCCTCCAGAAGCTAACAACACAACTCTACCACTGCCACCAGCATGAGACAAATCCAGTGACCTCGGCACTAACTGTTCAAGCTATACATTTCTGGACTCAGTTCTCAGGGGTTTGGGAAGGAGCAGGACATACTAATAATCTTTTTTGTTTGTTAATCTTACCGGAGGATATTTTTTCAATTGATTTTTTTTAGAGAGAGTGGAAGGGGTGGGGAGAGAGAAGCATCGATGTGAAAAACATTGATTGGTTGCCTCCTGCCAGGGCCTACAACCCGGGTATATGCCCTTGACTGGAAATCAAACCTGCGACTCTTCAGTCAAAGGCCAACGCTCTAACCACTGAGCAATGGCAGGCCAGGACCACACTAGTAATCTTAAATCAGTTTTAGGATTATGAATACTATGTGGGTACCATTTACCTCCCATGGCCCTCCGCAAGCCCCTAGCCACTAAGCACATCTGTAGAGGGTCTCCCCCCATCAAACATATCACCCCTTTCCTTCCCAAACATCCCTGTTAGCCATGAGTAACAGTGTAGCCCAGCAGCCCAAACCCAGGGGTAGGAATCTAGACACCTGAGTTACAACCCACTTCCATCCAGGGCCCTCTCAGATAAGACCTTCCCAGAGCATTCCCCATGCCTGAAGCCCTTCACTACCAACCCAGGCTTGTTAGAGGAACAGTTCTTCACAGAGAGGTGCATATGAGGGTCAGTGTAGTCATCATACAGTGAAGGAAGGGAGGAGCTGAGTGTGTGTGTGTGT